CGGTGAACGCGGCACCCTCCCCGCCGGGAGCCTGTCCCCAGCACCGCTCCTTTCCTGGGGGGACTCTTGCCTTCCCTTCTCATTCCTCCCCCTCTGCTCAATTGTTTTAAAAAAATGTTAGTTTTTCCTCTCTGAGGTATTATTAAGATGCATTCTGCTGGATTAAAATAAACACAGAATAACTCAAGTTGCCATTAATGAAATAAGTCAAACCTGAGAAATGAGTTTCCCCCCAAAAGCCTGCAAAAAACTTGTTTTTAAAAACAGTGAATGGCACGTGGAGAAACTTCTTCCAGAAAGATAATTTAAGAGCCAGCTTCCATTTTTTCCCTCAACTCCCTATCAAATCTGCACATCTCACCTCAAATGAATATGTAGATTAACAATGTGCCAGTACTTAAAAAGATGTACAATATTTGAATGAAAATAGATGGTGTTGATTAAGCCCGGTGCTGGGCATTGAGTCATGATGAAAGGAAATATTTGAATTAAATAAAAGCATCTTATTTCTCTAGCAGGCTTTTTTCTAATTATAAAAAAATCACCTGCCTTACACATAATTTCAATATCTATTCAAACTTTATAAATAGGGCTCTTAAAGGTTGCTCTTCATCATGACACAACTCCAGGTAATTCTAATGACTCATAGAATAAAGCTAAAGCAGTATATACTTAAAAAAAAAAAGAAAGATCCTGAAACAGTCACACACTTACCACATGGGAAGATTAGTTAAATCTGCATTTAGTGGAAAAACTCTGAAATACATGTTTTATTGAAAAATGTCACATACTTTCAAAGCCCCTCTTGTGATTTCCTCTTAGACTGAATTCCCGCTGAGTGTGAGCTCAGTTCCACATCTTGGTCAGAACAACTCCTCTGACTTCAGCCGTGGCAGGTACAAAAGCGTGCCGCTGAGCCCAGGACACTGAACTTTGAGAACATTCACACTTTTGTGTGGCTGTACAATTAAAAGCATTTCTTCCTGTGATTATCATTTGCTAATATATGTGTTTCTAGGGAGTAATTTTAATTACATGAATTTGTGCCAGTTCGTTTTAAATGCAGAAGCTTCCTAGATTGTAAAAAACCTAAACTGCTTTGAAAAAATTATTTTCTCCTTCCTAGTCTTTCATCCTTTTGCACTGCTCAAAATGGTTAGTTTGTAAATCTCCTGGTTACAGGACACCTACTAATTCAGCGAGGAATTACAGACCTCAGACTCCAACTGACAAGTAGTTGTTTGGTGACTAAGTGTCCCAAGAAAAATAATACTTTCTCTGGAGGTTTACAGGCATGCACAGGAACAGTCAAAACAGGAAAAATCTATGGTTCAAATTCATAATTCGCATGGAAAACAAGGCATCACTGGGGCATATTCCCTCCCTTCTTCTTTTCCCCCCAGACAAACAAGCCTTTGCAATTGCAAACAAAATTAATTGCAAACCAAGGGACTGATTGGCTGTCGTAAATCTCAGAGGCACATTGCAAAATATTCAACGAGGAGAGAAGATGGATATGGTTAAGCCTAATCTGCTACTGCAGGGCTATTATTTTTCTCCTCACAGCCTCAAGCACGTGTTCAGTGACATATAGCGAGATGTCCCTCATTCTGCCATGGCAGAGGCTGCGTGGAGGGAAGCCGCAGGCAGATTACTTGGGTCCTGGATACTTTCTACAACATGAGAATGCTTGAGCAAAGCTCACAGACATCAGGGTCTGTGGGGAGACTCTCCTCCAGGTTAAGAGCTAGAAGATTCTAGCTCTGTTAGCTTTCATAAGGAACAATAATTTAAGCTGGCATCAGAAAGATATGATTTCACTTGTCTTTTTGAATCAAGTTGTTACTTTCTTAATCTGAACCAGCATAGTCTATCCAACTTTCTGGATTTTCAACTATTTATATTAATCATATCTGTTTTGATAGTGCCCAAACGAAACTGTGGCTCCATTTTGCTATGGGCTATAGAAACAAGTTAGCCTGGTCTGTGTAACTAGCGAAGTATGGTATCAGTGCTGCAGTAGCACTGTATCTGCTTTCAACCCACACCTGTGGGTGCCCTTTAGAAACTCGGTGACCTAAAGTGCTCACCCGGGCAGCTGCCAGGTCTCAGCTGGGAGATGGGAGACCACCCAAGCCATCAGTGTTAGCCATGTGAAAGCTGTTCGCACCTTCCTGCAAAGTCAAAACCTTTGTTAAGGTGCCTTTGAGGTTTCATTCATCATTTGCAGCCTCTGAAGGCTGTCTGCCTCTTTGACTTGACTCAAACACGTTCATTCTTTAAACTACATGAAAACTGAGCACCTCCCTGCTCTTTGCTGCTCTGGTGTAGCCACACCAGCGGGCTGTGACTTGTGACTGTCAAACACAGACTGGTGTGGCAGGAGGTGATCCCTGTCTGTGGGATTGGGTGTGGGAGGACCTCGCAGTGTTGACATACACCTTAAAAAGCCAGTAAAAGTCTCAGTTTTTAGAGACCTGTAGTTTGGTACAAGAGGATTCAAACATTTGCAGATGTATGTAGAGGTCCAGCTGCACAGATAGCAGAACTGGGATGTACAGAGCAAAAGATTTAAGTTAAAGAGGTCTCTATACACATATAAACAACCATTAACCCCATACACTTCTGATTAATTTCGATAATTACAAATGGCAATAATGATCAACCATGACTCAAACACCACTGACCTGCTGGACTTTTGAGTGTCAGCTATCTAAAAGCACATTTAGGAACAAGGTGGAGATAAGTTATTTAATCAATTGCCTTTTTTACTAGAAAATAGCCTGTGTGGCACACTTTCTATAGATTTTTCAACAGATATGAGCAGAGCTTGTAGTGAGTGCTATATTTAAGCAGTCACATGAACACATTCATTTATTAAAACCTATTCTGTGAATGTTTATTACCGCATCAATTTCTGTACATTGTTGAAACCTTTCGGTTCAGTGTTATGCTGGATGGAAGCAGGACATCTGACACTTGTTCCATGAAAGTAACTCCTAGAATTGTATTGCCATCCTAAACACCCAGTTATAAATCTGAAGTTCATTTTCCAGGAAAACTGTATAACATTAACAACATCTCTGCCAGTTAACTTATTTCTCAGTTAACCCAAGATACATACTAATCTATTTAAAATGCACAGAGTGAAAACAGATAAACATATAAAATAATCCTATTATAGGTTATGTAAGTTACTCTAAGGCTTTGATGTTTATGAAATTGATAATGCAGAGAACTTGGTGAGAAATACAGACCTCAATCTAGAACACACAGTATTAATATACTTAATACTGTAAGTAGTAGGAGCATACTGCTAGTCCTTACTCATTTTGTGGTTAGAAGTACTGATACAAAAAAAAAAATTAAAATGGCTGCAACAATGGATTTCTTTGACCTAGCTTATGACCTTCCAGTGTATTTTGAGGACAGTGATTTTACATGTTAACTTGTATATTATTCGGGATATTGAAATATATCACTGAGTTGTTGCTGATATAGTCTGAAATCTTGCCATGCTAATTTAAATTAAAAAAAAAAAAGAACCTGTTTGTCATACAGATTTATTCAGGATCATTTTAAAGACTCTCATACAGTGCCCTATACTTATATAAGCAATGTTTAATTGCGAAGTTTCACTTACAACTCATTTTGCTACACCAGAGAAACAGATTTTCATTTCTGGTGAACCTTAAATTCATTCTACTTATTTTAACAATGTGACCTTCTGCTGTTGAACAATGTCTTTGACAAAAACATCTCAGAGCTCAAAACTTGAGAAAGATGTTGTACAGAGCGGAGCAACTTCCTGAGTGTTTCAGTGAGAAAGTGACATTTTTCAGCTATTATTTGTATTACCTGACACATGTGACACGTGCTCTGATCAGAACATCAGAGCATAACTGGAATCCAGTATTTCACTTTGAACTATTGCTAGATGTATCAACAGCAGAAACTTAACATCCATCCAATTGCTAACACAGCACTGTCACCACAGATGGCCGCTGTACTGCCTGTCTCTGCAAAGAAAACATGACAAGACAGCTACTTTCCATGGACCAAGTAAATCTAACTTTGCTTACTTGCCTGAGGAGAATTTGCATGGTTTATGTCCATGCTAGGTAAGATCAGATGTGCCTAGGGTTCAGAAACAAGCTAGCTGGTACGCCAAGAGCCAGCTTGTCAGCCAAATAAGAGGGTGCCCCTTATAACAGGATGCAGACACATGCATTGGTCCACTTTCATCAGTCAATTCCCCAGTTAGACCTGGAGTTTTGCTGCTGCTGGGTTTTATTCCTTCTTTGTAATTTGCCCCATAAAAAAAACCAAACTCTTGCTGCTTTTCGCTCAAGCCATGCTCTCTGCAGTATTAATTGATCTTAACATGAAAAATAATGTGTGAAAATTTTGTATTTTCTTCTCTTTCATGATCTATGTATTTTAGGGAGACTTAAAAGGTATCATAAAACTAGAGCTATTATAGACAGGCATCCAGATTAATACGAAGACAGACAGCATGTCACTTTATTCCACAAAATGCTATCAGTCAGTGACTAGTGTCAATCAGTTGTGTGCAGTTGGCTTTTCCGAGTGATGAGCAAAAGTTACTCGTTGTCCCTTTATTTTCACTTGTTGCTTGTGCACAGCTGAAGGGTGATAAAAATTATTCCCTGTGCAACTTGGAAATAAGAGGAGTAAGGAAGACTGCCCAGAAGAACTGGAGAAGCCGATGAAGATGGCAATATAGTGTCAGGTGCCAGTTTGCTAAAAGCAAGGGCAGGAGTGAAGAATGAATAAAGAATCTGGAAGTGACAGTGGCATTCTGGGGCCATATCCTGTAGGAGTTTTTACTTTTTATCTCTCTGCCTCTCTACTTCTGAATCTTATCTTGTGACTGCCTTCCCCTCCCTTTCCCCCACTGTCTCTTTAGTATTTTCAGGTTTCCATCATTTTCCCTCCAATTGGTTCATATTGATCTAACAACCAGAGGATGGAGTAAAGAATATATATGTATAGACTCATTGGCTGTGCTGCAGTTGTAGTGGACAATGCAAGTAGGACAATGCAGAGCAGGGGAGGTAGTTACACTTCTTTGGCACTCTGGCTGAATCCCTCCTGAATTTCTAGCTGCTTCTCAGTCAAGCACTTAAAGACGCTGTCATTCAACAGTTTGGATTCAGAAGTCAAATGCAACTGCAATGATAATTCAGCTTACACTATCTATAAAACCATTACTGACTTTTTATTTTAAGATAATTCTACACGCAGTTTTAGATGCCTGCAACAGCAGCCATGGGAATTCAGGCATATGGCCACTACCATATGACAAAGTGTCTTTATCTAATAATTTTCAGTCTTTTCCATGTGTTCACTTGTGGATAAGATACTTCAGTATAACAGGCATGTCATCCTTTGATTCATTCACACAAAATTCCCTTCCAGTGAAATTTTAAGATACTGCTACTACCTCTGCCAGCTCTCTGCCACATCCCATTTCAGTCTTGGAGGTTTGTGAAACTTGCATAATTCATTTTTCCTCTCACGCTGAAGATAATAAATCCTGAATTCCCAGAAGAAATGCCAAAACATTAGATACTATTTTACAGCCCTAATCTGATCCGATTCAAGGGCGGAAGTGTTGTTGCCTCATCATATGGGAAACCGGGGCAGATATTTGTTACCTTCGCATCAATTACTTAATGGTATGTTTAGAACATGAAGATGTGTCAATATATGCACAATAATCTGGACAGCATGTAGTCTGCCTGATAAAACCAAATGGCTCGATATTCCATAGAGAACAGGTTATGTATATTTTTCTAGGCTCTGGGAAAGAGGAAAATATTACCGGTCCTGCTGAACTAATTTTAAATACCAGTAGTTAATAAGGTCTACATATGCAGGAAGGAATCCTGCTGTGAGCGTATAGCATTTGATAAGAAATGCACGACAGAGGAAAGGTCCAGATGTGCAAACTGTGCCAAGAGGCAGGCTTTTCAGTGGAACAAACCAGCTCAGTAAGCCCCATTAAAAAAGGACAGCAGAGAAAACATGTGCGTGCATGCAAGCGTGTATGCGCATGCAGCAGTGATTTATATATCCAGCTTAAGTATTATCTGTGAAACTGCTTAAGACTTCAACAGCTACCCAATTCTATTCCTTGGCTGGCACGCGGTGTCCCTTTGCAGTGACGGGCTGCCAGTTGACATGGCAATTAGATCTCTTGATTAGTAGTTCTTATACAGAAATAAGAGCTCCTCTCCTTCCTGTTATTTCCATGCTCTCTCTTCCTGAGCGTGCAAAATTCATCCACGTACCATAGAATGGATTTGACCTTTCACGTGTTACAGACTAAAATTCTCCACCCCATCCCCCCATAAAATTGCTAAATTGGATATTGGTTAAGATCTGAAAGCAAACCAGTTGCTTTAGAAAGAGATTAGTAATCAACCCATTAATTTTGATCTTCAGTACTGTAAAAACTAAAACCAGACAAGTACAGAAATATCCATAGGTTTCCTTAATCTGTTTATAAAGGATCTTCAGACACATTAGGAGCTCATAGTAGCAATTCAAAAGCTAAATATAAAAGAAGCTTTATGAAGTACTTATAAAGTCAGTAAGAGGTTTTCTGGGAAACCAGAAAGATAATACTTATTTTTAGCATATTTTCCTGTGAGATAAAGACGGTGAATGTAGAAAGTATCCATCCAAACCCAAAATGAGATACGTAAAAAGAGATCCCACGATACGCACCAGTGGTACAGAATCAGCATTTAGAGAGCAATGTTCTGACAACACCATCTGCTCATTTGTGCTGTATCTTCCTATTACAGGCTCTCTTAATGTCTCATGCATGATTTTCTCTGGAAGTCAGTAGGAGTGTATGATTTATTTTGACATTAATATTTACCAGTCTGGTGTACGCTTAAAGTATCCAAGATGCTGAGAATTTTTACTTGTTTAAAAAGCCATTGAAATGGCTTTCATTTTTCTTTGGAGACATTAACAACTTACTTTGTCACTTCACCACTGTTACATACAAGTCAGATACCCTTCACACTGCATTAATTTAAGTAAATACCACTAGTGTTGCTCTTACTAGAACTATAGACTGAAAGAAAAATTACTTTGGGGTAAAAAAGTTGGCTAGTGTTTTGCATTGATCACTAAAGGATGGTGAAACAAAGCTTCAAGTTGTGAAGCTTCAAATTCTTTACTGTTAGTAATTTATTGTGAAATTAAAGTGCAAGAGAATCCTGCAAAATTCATTCTGGACATGGAAAATAGTATTGTTTGATTGCCCCTTTATAAAACCTACAACAGCTATTTCATTTGTATTTATTAATATTTAACAATAGTCTTGCAGATTCTGGGTAGGTAATGTTCCTGTCATGTAGGGTTTTTTAAAAGTTTTGAAGCAAGTCTTACAAATAACATTTCAGTACTTCGATGAAATACAGCAAAAGTTTGCACAGTCTGTGAATTTCAGATCTGTTGCATGACTGCATGAAACTATTGATTGATAGTCTTTTCATCCAGAAATGGATTACAGAGCTGACAGATTACTTAAAATAACCCTGATGGATGTGAATCATACTGACAAAAGCAAAGAAATCTCATTCAGAAGAAAACATCTTGCCTCAGCCAAACATTTTGATGAATGTGGATGGCTCCATATGATTATTTATATACAGTCAAAGGATCTTTTTTTAATAGCTACAGATAGAAACAAATGTCAATTTTCCTCATTAACAAAAAGCTCACCAAAGATACGTATCATAGGTATTGTTACTACCCACGTACCAGAGATGTTGCTCTCAAACAGCTCTGTGTTCGGAGATGGGGTTATGTATTTTCCATTCAGAGGAGCGCACTGATATGCCAGAGATGCACTCGTTTACAAGCACGAATAGCAGAGACAAAACTCAGTGTTTATGATTCTCCTGCACACGATTGCATTATTTTTCAAAACAATTACTTTTCCTAATATTTAAGGGACAGATGCAAAAATGAAAGAGCTGTAGTATACTGCAATGCAACTTCTATCGGTAAGTTAAATTATTGCTGATACCATGTCTTTTTTTTAAGTTTTGAGGTTTTTTTATTGTTGTAGATATTTACTAATACATTTATAGCAGCAGTTATTCAAGATACAATATCTTTAGTGTTGAAAACCTTATGAAATTTGTATATTTGAAATGCAAATGTGTTGTAAAACATTACCTCTGCGCCTTTTTTTTTTTAGGAGCTACTGGAACTTTTGAAACCATACCTGACAATGTGCAGTCTTAAATGCTGCAGTCTCAGAGCCCTTTTTCTATTGATGCTATGTAGGTAAGAAATATTTGTTAAAAATATTATTTCTTCAATATATGATAATATCAGTTGGTTTATAATCAATTTACTTATAGTTAGAAATATATCTGACCAGGTAATGAAGCCAAATCTACTTGACAGTTGAATCTTGCCTCTTTCAAAGATTAAACCACCTGGATATCAACAACAGAAATACCAGCTATTAGGAAGAAAATTAACTCTATCCCCGCGCCAGATTTTTTCACTGAGGAGACTGATTGGGGGGGTGTGTGGGGGAAGAA